CTCGAAAATGCGGGTATGGACCCTGTCATTGAGGAACACTACAAAAACCTTCTGAAACAATGGAAAGTGGATGAACATATCAAAGATGCGCTCAGTGAGATGGTGGAGAAGCTGGATGAACTGAAGGCGGCGCTGCCGCAGCCGGCAGAAAAGTCGACGCTGAGCGAAAACGGTAAGTTATGACCAAACTATGACGCCATTAATACACTCTACATTAGACTTATCTAATACTATCGATGTTTCAGATTGACAATGTACAATTAATATCAGGTCCTGAGGTACACCTCACCAGAGACAAAGAATCAAATCAAAAGGTAATCCAAGAGAGTCTTGGATTCTAGGGTGCGTTCCTTTGGGATGATCTGGATCAGGATCAGTGATCCGAGATCACTCGGATCATGGTAGATCAAATGAACCGATAAATCCACTCTGGACAAGGATTCATCCGATCATTTGATCTACCATGATCCAAATGATCTCGGATCACTGATCCTGATCCGGATCATGTCAAAGGAACGGACCCCTAGATTCCACGCTGTGGATTACGGATTTCAGGTACTGGATTTCAAATTCCTTCTTGCCAGCGGAACTTGGATACCGGATTCCAATCATTTCCAGGATTCCAGATTCCTGGAGAGCTGAATTCCGCACTCCAAAGCCCAGGACTGTGTTTTCCGCCTGTGTTTTTCTGTGTTTTTTTGTAACCCGGATTACCTAACATGGAGTGAGAGGGTATCGCTAAGTCTAACTACAAAGCGACATTATGAGTATTGACAACGTTTACTGCATTGCAAGCTGATAAGAAGTGTTTGTGACTCATTTAGCCAACTCATTCTTAGCTCGATAACAGTCGTATCTGAAAACAGCTTATTTGATTGGCCTTGCGTACTTGTCAACTTTCTGAACTCAATTTTACGATTTTGGACAACATTTGAATTGAACTGTCAAGCACCCTACCAATCAGGTTGCAGACAGTTTTGTATCTATATTAGCTAACTAAGGAATTTTCAAGGGAAAAATAATTCATTTCAATGTCCCATTTTACTCGCATACAGATCCAATCTTCGTTCAAGAGTGTCAAAGGCAGCTGCGCTCCCACTATAACACTACCATGAGCCAGGTTAGAATCACCCCTTGGGAGAAAGATAGCATTGTCAACATCGAAGACGTTTACACCAAATTATCCTGGTGGAGACATGTAAAGAGACCCAACGGAACAACCAATCAGGAAATTAACGACTATACCGAGGTATTCGAAGGTTATGGACGTTCTACCAGCCCTAAAAGGATACTTGTCTACGGAAGGACTGGTATCGGAAAATCGACCTTTTCTCAGAAAATTGCCGTCGACTGGGCGAACGAAAAGGAAGAGGTCTTGAAACGGTTCGATGTTTTACTTGTGGTAAGGTTGCGAAATGCGTTGGATGCCCAAGACATGCCTTCTTTAATAAAAGCTTCTGACCTTTTTGCTGTTGATGGATCGATTTCAGCTGAGAGCGTTTATGATTACGTTCGCAGCCACCAAGAAAGGGTGTTACTTGTATTTGATGGCTACGACGAGTACAGTGCGAATGGGACATTGATTCGTGAGATTTGGCGAGGGAGACAGCTAAGAGATTGTCACGTGTTAATAACGACCAGACCACTGGAGGGCGACGAACTTATTATCCCAAGCAATGTGCTGTATGAGATCAAAGGGTTTGTCCACAAGGAACAAGTGAACGATTTTGCGCGGAGGTTTCTCGACAGCGAAAGAGAGCTGGAATTATTTGTCTGTTACCTAAACAATGAGAACCTCTGGGACTTAGCGGAGATTCCCCTTCTTCTTCTGATGCTTTGCTTGATTTGGAAGAACAGGTATGTAAAAAAACTACCAACATCCAAGCTAGAACTGCATGACAGATTTGTCGAGACTTTGCTTTGTCACATGAGCTTGAAGAATCCCGACAGCCCACCGTTGAATAACCAAAATGTTTTCCATGCTTTCAGTGAAGAGATTACCGCCTTAGGAAAGTTGGCGTTTGAAACTCTTTTGAAAAACTCCGTATATGTAGATCTTGAAAACATTAAACTTCAAAGTGATGGCCTCGCCGACAAAATGATCCGTTCAGGTCTCTTTCAATTTTCTAAAATGTCAAGTCCAGATACTACCAAAACCATAGTATTTCTTCACAAATCAATCCAGGAGTTTCTGGCAGCACAGTATTTGATGAACACGCTAACTGTGAAAGAGAGCAAGATACCCACTACTGCCGCAGGGATTAATTCATTTAACAAGGCTTTAGAGATGAAGGAGGTACTTAGATTTCTGTGCCAGTGGTCTACGGAAGGAGCGAGAGCAGTCTTCAACCTTCTTAGGTCTCTTGGAGAAAAGGAATGTCTGACAAAGTGCCAGTTTTCTAAGACGCCTTCTTTGGACGATCTGTCACTGTACCAAAGATTGTTGCGGGATTTAAGTTTGGAGTGTTTAATCAGTTGTTCGGTGTCCTCTAGGCGAGACATTTATCCTTTGTTTCTCTCGGCCACAGATGGTGTTATATCAGTGAATAGCTATAATATCGAAAACGTTGCCTCTCAGCATCTACTGCAATCTTCTCCTTTACCGAACTATGTGTTTTTCGAGCATGGCACTTTTGCTGAGTTTGTTTCAATATCTCAAGATGTAGACGCTGTAGTTCTTACCTGTTCTGCCCTTAAAATCAAAGCTTTTCATTATCTTCAAATGTGTGAAGTCTCGGCGTTTCGGACGGAACACTTCTTTCTAAAACGTAAAGGGGACAGGCTCTTTCTTTATTTCACTCGAATCTATAGGACTTTTCGTCGCAACTATTTAGAAATGCTGAGGGACCTTACATCGACATTGTATGAGTCTATTCCTAGAGGAAAGCGGAACCTTGCTGAGCTTCCTGAAGGTCACTGTTTTTCATTAGTCAGGGAAATTGAGGTTTTCGTTATGTGGACAAGTGAAGAGTTATCGTACATAAACGACATGTTGTCTGTTGCAGCGTCTCCGCAAGACATCATTATAAAGCACATACGGGTAGAAAATGATGTTGTATCTAACATCAACTTCACCGAAAACCTTGGTAGATTAGTTCTGTACGATCTTGAAATGTCAGAGGACGATGCTGCTCTCTTAGCTAGTTCAATTCGTCAAGCTCCCAACATGTACTCATTGAAAGTGTCCCGCTGTCCTTTGCATGGTAGTATACGGATTTTGTCTGCAAATCTTCGCCATGTTCCACTGTTGATATATTTAACTTTGTCTCGAGTCCGTATGGATGATCAAGAATGCTCCTTTTTAGCGTCTTCATTGCAGCATGTTCCTCGGCTAAGAGTTCTCAATTTGTCCAACAATCCACTTGGTAAAGGAATCACTGACTTTGCTCGACAGTTGTATCGCATTCCTGATCTGCAACATCTAAACATAGAAAAAACAAGAACAGGTGAAAAAGAAGCTAAAGCCTTAGCTCAAGAGCTAAGATCAGTGCCAAGACTACGAACTATTCAACTAGGATTAAATCCAATCGGAAAAGGGGTCAGTGATCTCGCGAGAAGTCTTCATGACCTTGAAGAGCTACTACAAGTGGACTTCAAAGACGTAGAAATGTCGCAAGAAGAAGTTGATGCTATATCGGACGCACAACGTGGAATATATATAACCTCTTATCACGTATGTTTTCCTTTTTACTAGTCATATCTTAAGTTAATTTCGGTAGTATCTTGCGTAGCAGACACATGAAAACTTTAGGGGTAAAAGCTAAAACGGCGGCGCTACTGCTTTGCTTTTGCGAGTCCTCCCTCGCACATCGCTGATCTCGCTCCCCATGCTGCTGTTGCTGCACAGTCCCATGCTAGCTTAAAAAGAAAACTTTGTCACCATTGAATGGTAAGGAAGGGGTTATTAAATGGGGCGTTGTTACTAAGTCATTGAAATTCTTCCTTGATAAAGACAACCACCAACTGGGCCTTATGAATATGTTTTGTCGCCTTCCCTTTTCCCTGACCCCAGATGTCTCGTGGAAGTGTTTTCGAGGCACATCAACTGATTATATATAGCACACCTGAATGTAACGCGATTAGCGTCGATGTGAATTCATATATGAATTCTTAGCTAACCCGTACTAGAAAGGAAGGTGATATCCATTGGGTGTGGCCGCACGGAATTCTTGTGCATTAGTGGTTATCGATATTATGCAGTGTAATGTATATTGTGATATTACACTGCATTCCACTTTAGCAGGTTGCAAGGTTGAGATTTTGGCCAGAGTGTTACCGTGATAAATCAGAGTTATATTTTCTTACAGGGGGATTCATTCTCAAAATATATCTTCCTTTTCAAGAGTGTTATGTCACGAATTCTTGGCATCCATTCACATGTGTCATGGGACACTTAAAAATTATGTGCCCCTTAAACAATTCTCTTGTCTGTCGATAAGAGTTTAAGCTAGGAACGTTACGCCGTTAGGATAGAAGTGGAGGCTGAAGGAGCTTCGCTTAGTTTTTTTTCTTTTTCTTCCTTTCTTTTTTTCAAATGGTCTCGGCGTGAAACAGTTGTCTAAAGAAAACAAAAAAAATACAAGCTAAAGAGTCTATCCAGTCTATCCATGAACTTCGTGTACCGTTAGATTGGCATATGTAAGAACATCTGCTTAACATCCTTCGACTGTTTTAGGACCTCCAGGGAAGACCCAAGGCGAAGGACGATTGGCCCGCATTCGCTGATCCACATTACAATAATGATGATTATGATGATGATGATGAATCATTCATTTCATGCACTTTTGGTGGTGATGATGATGATGATAATGATTACACAGAACTGGATGGACTGTGCTCATCTTCCTGCTGTGGTGAATTTTCCATGGTCAGTTGAAACCCTGCCCAAATCAATACAGTTAGCCTCCACGCAAATTAGTAACTACCAGGAGCCCATAACCTGGAGCGAGAAACTTCCATGCACTCTTGTCACGGCGTTTTCATGGACCAGTTTATTTTTAGAACGGTTTTGGCGCGAATTTTGAATATCTTTTAAATTCCACAAACAGTCAGCAAAACCTACAGACCTAAAAATGATATTTTTTGCCTTTTAATAACGTTTAGTTTTCCTTTTTGATAAATTATACTTCGAATGTGCTCAAAGACATGGTGGAGATTCTATTTTTGCTGGAAAAAGTGCCCTAAAATGTGTCTAAAAATAAACTGGTCCGTAAAAACGCCGTGACATAGGTCTAGTTTGGGTGTTGCTCGCTCCGGGTTATGGGCTCCTGTAACTACTTTGTCTTTCCAATTTAATTCCAATTTAATGAATGAGGAGAGATGACGATGAAATTAATTGAATGTTTACAAAATAGCAACCCCACCCCCAGGCGATGGAAGTCGGGAAATGGGTTTTAAGGTTATATTTAAGAACAATATGTCTGTTATCGAAGAATAGCTCTGTTCCGTTGGAGGCTAGTGCGGAGTGAGGTACCATTAGGGTTTGTTTCTTTGAAAAATCAAAAAAAATACTGATATCGTAGAGACTTTTGTTCTTGGGCCATCGTAGTTTGATAAAAAATAGAACACAAACACCTGTGATAAACATTGTGAGTTTTCGCATTTTTATAAACTTGACGTTTCGTGTGCTATTCAACATACATTTTCAAAAGTGATCTTAAATGACCGTTAAAGTAAATGACGAGACTATATATAAAAGTGCGAAAACTCGCATTGTTTATCACCGCTGCTTGCGTTTTATTTTTGATGAAAATGATATCGATTTTTTTCACTGAAATCCGTAAACAGATTTTGAATCCATAGTGAAATCTAAGTCCGGATGTTTGGAATTCATGATTACACCTAGCTGGTGGTGTTTTAGGATGTACTGAAAGATACGAGGCCCGCGCTGTCACATTCCAGAGTTTTAGCAAAGATGACGTCGACGACGGCAGCGAACACGTCACTATAACAAGACTTTGCGTGAAACTTTGTCACGCTTGTTTCAACCTGGTTAAAATATTTACCCAAAAGACTGATGCACGTGCAGAGTTGTTGTTTTGCTTATTAACCCAATAGACCATTTAGCTTGTATGCTTTGTTTTCCCAATTCAGACCACTTGATGTTCTCTAGGGAATTTGCCTTTTGTCTTTTCATTAATTAAGCATACATATTCACGTGGATGCACGTGCGTAATAGGACAGTTGAAAAAAACAGTTCCCTAGCTATAGGGTACCATCACGCGGCCTGAAATGGGAAAACAAAACATACAAGCTAAAAAGGTCTATCGATTGTCCCTTTTTTTTGCTTTGTTTTGTTTTTTGTTTTTCTTTAACGTTGGCGCTGCCTTCTTTGACGTGGTTGCTTAGGCCCGGTTCAGACGCCGAAATTGTCATGAGCCGAAACTAATACATTGAAATTTCGGCGTCTGAATCAATTAGGAACGCCTGTTTCAATTTGGAACGGCTCACCCGTTCTTTTCGCCTAGCCCAGCCGGGAATTTCGCCTTTGGAGCGACTTTAGAACGGCTTTGATTCAGACGCCGAACTTTTCAGATCTTTTCGTGTACCGAACCAAATGCATAAACTATTATAAGACTTATAAATATTTCAGGTAAGCAGTTTGACCGAAATGAGCATTTTTCGCCTTTTGAACTTAGTTCAACTGCAATTAAGATCGGCGTCTGAATCAATGCAGCCGATCTAAATAATTTGGGTCGGCCTAAGTTCGGAGTCTGAACCGGGCCTTAAACTCCTTATTTATGTGCCAGGAAACCATTTCCAAATAGAGCGAGGATGACTTTTAAAATAACGAAAAAGTAGTGTGTAACGTGTTTGACAAACATACCATGTATATAAGCTTCGTTTATTCGTTTTCTTTCAACTTGTCTTATTTTACCCATTCGCGGGTACTGTGATACGATGTAGGAGTGTGGAATAAACCACATTAAATACAGTTGAACCTCCCTTAAGCGATCACCCGAAATGCGACGACTTACTGTTCGTTTACGGGAGGTGGTTGGAGAAGAATCGGACCACAGGGGGTCACTTTCAAGAAGAGCTCTGGACACATCAACTTCATGGAGGATAATAATTCATTGCATGCAATTTCTAAGTTTTAATAAGTATAGTTCCATGTTGTTGATAAAAATTCTTCGTGTACGCTAAGTAACGCAGTACATGGAGGGAACATAGAGCTAGATCAGACTATGGGTGAAGTGGTCGCTTACAAGCCGGTTAAAAGCGATAGAAAATTATTAAACCGTCAGTCCCAAAAAGTGGTCGCGGTCGCTCACAGGAGGTTAAAAAGAATGGAAAATTCTAAACCGGTCGTCCTACAAAGTGGCCGCCCTCGCTTACAGGAGGTAGTCGTTTACGAGAGGTTCCAAATGTAGGGCTTCAACCGGGAAAATGTTGGTGTTTTAGATAAGTTGTCGCTTGTGGGAGGTGGTCGCTTACGAGAGGTGGTCGCACATGGAGGTTCGACTGTATATATGTAAGGGTGATTAAGTGGTACTGACGAAAGCTACACATGTTTTCTTAACTACAAGGTATAAACCGAAATGTCAGACAATATTCCGCATATTCTGTACTATGGTATACACTGCTAAAACTATTTTACAGCTTATCATACACGGAAGTGAAAAATTGGGAGAAGAGCAACAAGTGGCACGCAGAACGCGCATAGCCTGTCTTTTCACTTTTCCACCACGCCAACGTGTTTGTGTTACTAAACGGTTCTTAAGAGAAAATTAAAAGGAGAGACTGTGAGCAGTCTATTAGGTCTGACTTCAGTTTATTTATTTCGACGGAACACCCTGTCATTCTAACCGGCGTTCATCCTTTACTGAAGTTCCTCTAGGTCACTAACATACTGTACCTCCTGTTTGTGACGTGAGAATGATTTATAAGATCTTAACAATTTTCATGGTAGTTTGGCCAGTTAATTAACTGGCATAAACGTAATGTTTAATTACCTATTTAAGGTGTTTCGATATAGTTTTTCAGACGCCATACCGATTTTTTTTCAATCGCATTAAAAGTAATTTTATCCTTGTCTGATCGCTATAAAATTTTAACCAATGATTGACTATAGATTGAAATTTGTCAAAATGTAGATTTTAGTAAAATCGATGTTGTTATGACAACAATAAACAAAAAACTTTGAAAAAGATAAACACCTAATTTTACGCGATCTAGACCAGCTACTGAAAATCCAACACTAGGAACTTAAAGTTTGGTGTTTAGCAAATAACTTCCGTATGAAGTAAAAAATTCTGTATGTTTGAATTCTACTGAAACGAAAATATATTTCAAACCTTAAACTTTCAGTAGCCGTGATAGATTATTTCATAGAAACGTTATAAATGACGCTAATTATTCTTAAGTAGCGTGAGAATGCTGCTTAGTATAATATTTCGGAAATTTTGGTGTATTTTCGTTCTTGCGATCGTGAAAACTAACCCGTTTTCTCACCACCTGTATAAGTGCAGCTTCATTCAAAATTTGAACTTTTAGCGCTTTTTGTATATCTGTGAAACGACTCGAACGAATTGTTTTAAATCTCTTCACATAATCTTCATAATGTATATAATACTGAATAATGTCTGAAACTTTCATTAAGATTGATTCACTGCAACAGCCTGAAATTTCAAGATCAAACCTATCCTACGAATCGGTCAAAAATCAGCGCTACAAAATTCACTGCTTTGACGTTATGCTAGTTTTTCCAAATTAATGCGGACAATACATATATCCATGACTAGTACATTTTAGTTTGAGTATTATCAATGTTTTACGTTCAAAAGATGCGATAAATTCAAACTAAAATGTGCTAGTCGTGGAGGCATGTATAGTGCGCATTATTTTGGAAAAATTAGCATAACGTCAAAGGAAGGAGCTCTACTACCAAAATTCGGGTATACCTCAGTGTAAAAACCGGTGAACTATTTTTTTTGTTTTCTAGCTATTATTTTCTGTGGCTCTATTGTGTTGACTTTTCAGTGGCTTCTTTGTATTCATTGTTTTACGTCACTCGTGAGTTTCACAGATTTTTACACCGAGGATGAGCCCAAAATTCTTTACTGACAAGGAAATACACCTGGCTGCTTCGATCTAGGTTATCTTTCAGCATGTATTTAAGCCAAAACCGTACGAAACGCGTCAGGCAAAAGTAGTTCATTGCTTTGTGTGTTAGACTCAGTATAGATTCGCTTGAGTTCCAAATATGGCTGTGCTTTGATAGTTTTTGTCCCCAATAGCTTCTTTCAACTGCTGTCAGAGCATACTTTGTTTCCTACGGATAATTGTTTCTTAAAACACAGAAAGGTCATGAAGTTATTACCTCCGCATTATTTCAAGGCACCTCATGCATGGGCATACAGTTCAAGTAAAATATCTTTATCATCCATCTTACCGGGATCCTTATCGGCCATTTTGGATTTTTATGGAGGTTACCGCTGACTACTTGTTCCCAGACTTCCGTTCCCCCGTTCCCCGCTCCCCGCCCCCCGCTCCCTGTTTTAGTAACATCCCCTCTTAGGAAACATGCAGTTACAATTCTCGCTCCATGATTGGTGCATTTCGATCCTCTCGTCAAACAAATGTCACACAAGATAGAATACACATTGTTCGCAAAAGGCCCACACTAAAAAAATCACAATGATTCGTACATTTCCATACCATAAAATTCCGAAAATAAGCCCCTCCAGGAGCCGAATATCGGCTCCTGGCACCTCCTAATATAAGCCCCCCAAAATCGTAACGCACAAAACCGTCCCTTAAATCGCCCCTCCGAATATAAGCCCCCGTGGGGGTTGTACTGGGAATTTGCTTTCGAATACAAAGTAAAACAATGCAAAAATGGTAATTCCTTCCCACCACAAGCTAGGCCAATCGATTTTGTAACGCAAATTTCCCTCCGTACATAAGCCCCTCCGAATATAAGCCCCTCCAAAACTGAGCCCCTCAAAAAGGGCCTTTGAAAAATATAAGCCCCGGGGCTTATTTTCGGAATTTTACGGTATGTCAGATAAAGTCTCGAACAACAGCGTACATTAACCTGCACAAGCGGAGTACATACTGCAATCCTTTACTCAGGAATAAAATCAATATGACAACACACATAAATCTTATCCCAACTTTTTCCACAAACGTGACTTTGACACTCGCGAGCAGACACGCTCGTGAATATACTAAAATGCTCCTTTCGCACCGACCTTAAACCAATTCCTTTTAAGTTCATTCATTCCGAAATGTATTTGTAATCTTTCTTTTAATCTTTCTAGGCTGCAAGTCAAAACAGTTTTCCGCAACATAACAACATAGCTGCCATTCGCTAAAATCGGAAAAGGATATGTGTTTCAAATGCGATAACAGCCGTTTCGAGGAAGAAAAGAAGTGAAGTGAAGCGAAGTGAAGTAAGACAAAACGGCTCCGTACGTGGCACAGTAAAAAGAGGTCACATGATCACTCATCCAAGTGGGAGTTCAAGGAAAAGTTCCTTTTGTCGTACTTGCATGTGACGCCGATCCCTAGCTCTTTCTGACAGAAACGTTTTGCTTTCCGGCTTCACAGCAACGACTGGTATAGACTGTTCTCTTTAGGTAAGATACAAAAGGCCATGGGTCTCCATTAATTCAACTTCCTTCCTCATATCCCCTGCGCATAGTCACTACCTGTCTCCAGTTTATACTGGTGGACGACAGTGATTTCTAGCTCCCTTTGTAATTGAAACGTTTTGCTTTCAGCTACATTGCAACGACTGGAATACACTGTTTTTAATTTTAGAAAACACACAAAAAGGTCGAACGCTTTTACGTTTCACTCGCCTAATTAACAAACACGTCTAATATTCGACCTCGTTCCTCATCTCCCATGTGTATACAAACCATTATTTCTCAGCTATTTCGTAATGTAACAGATTAACTCGATTACTTTCTTCTTTGAATTGCCTCCAACCATTTATACCGTATTTTAATGATGTTATAAGTTGTATCAGTAGTAATGAAAATCTTCGAGCAGAACCAGTGTCTTCTTTCAGCTGTTCCGGCCCCCTAGGATTTGCTTTCGGCTTAAATGTATTTAATGTATTCTTATGTTGGATAACTAATTTTACGTAAAGAGTCAAATTCGATAGTGTTTTTTTTTTTGTCTTGAAACAAGCACAAACGTTTACGAGACAATTGTGCATTTGAAGCCTGATGGAATATCAATTCTGGTTTTCAGTGTCACGCCATTCAAAATAGATCAAAATCAAAATCAAAACCGTTCAATAGATAAAGTCCAGAATCTGGGAAATGAAAGGAGGTACATATACAAAGACCCTCGCCAAGATTCAGGTCAGAAGAATATTTCGTATACGAGATATCCGAAGAAATGTTTTACCCAAACTTACCCAATAGAGATTTGTATGGAGACGCCCTGCTGGTGGTGACACCTGAATGAGCTCCAATATGGCGGACGGAAACCAACAGAAACATTTGTTACCGAGTTTTGCTACAAGAGTGTGAATTTATTCTTCGAGAAACTCATAAACATTTAAGTAATACGTTTTCTAATCCACGAACTGTTTAGATAGCAAAATGTCCTGAAATAAGTCATTTTTTAACCTGGCCGTCATGTAAATGCCGCGTCACGCAAAAGATTAGAAATTCAAGCGTACTCTACCACAAAACCAAGAACCCTTTTGAAGCGAAAATTTGCATGAAAATTGGTTTTCGGCTGCTCTAATACATCGTGAAAGTAAAATCTCGGTAGGATCGATAGTTTTTTAGTTTGAATTTTGGTGACGTCGTGTGAAAGCCAACAATGCGTAATTCTATAACAATACCAAGCTTGAGGTCTTTCAAGACAACAAAGAGAAAGTGAAACAGGAAGTGATAGGTGTATTAGGATTTTTTTTCAGCCACGATTATGTTTTGCAAGAAAAAGACTCTACAAGGACTTTTGGCATGAAAACCCAATCGAGGTACTAAGCAGTCAAGTAAAAATGCGAAGTGCAGGCGTTAATAAAAGTGAATAACACTGAAAAGGTGAAATGAAGTACACTAAAACCGCTCGACTGAAAGAACGTCAAGTCACGCAACGTCTTCTAGTTCCCCCTACCCTCTCTGGCATCGATAAATACAGCAAAATGGTTAACGTGACACTCAAATGATACGATGCTAGCGTCACAAAAGTCAACTCAGAGGTTCAGTGTCAATATACTACAAAACGCAGTGTATCTGCTCATTTTTAACTTCAGACCGAGGGAGCTTTTGAATCCGTCAAAAGCGTTAAAGTTGAATAACTTCAAAACGACTTTTTCTGTGAGCGACTTTCTCTAAAATTTTGCGGGCAGCATTTTAAAGTCGTCGTCACGTGTACGTCAGCATTGACGTTCTCAATTGGCAACCAGTATTTGACAGCCATATTTTTCAAAACTTGCATTTTTTATTTAAAAAAGATTTTATGTCTATTTTTGAATTATTGCATTTCTCTTTATTCAACATTATTTTTATTATGTATTATTACTATTTTTTTATGTATCATAAATGTTAATGTAATCCAGGCTTGTCAGTGACTAAGTGGAGAAAAAAACATGATTTTAAAATGACCAAATGGCAGATACTGGGTTCTATGTCCAACAGTGATCTTCTCCCTCTGAATTATCTCGATTACCTTGATTTATACGGGTTTTTAAAAAGAATAATGTAATATATTCGATCAATTCATAATGGCGGATCCAAGATGGCGGATGGTTCTAGTTCCTTCATCTGAAATAAATGACGTCATCATGACATCACTGCTTGTCTTAAAATTATTAACATGTTAACCAACTTCTTGATTTTATCAGACACCTCACTCTTTATAAAATATTTTTCGCTTTATTGCCACCTTGAGGAATTTTTGGATTTTGCTAATGAATTCAAAACTGTGACCTAATAATGACGTGAAATTACGTCATTGTGTGAATTACGTTATGGCTCTATGTTGGAGATGGGGAGGACATTCTGTGTAATTTTGGTGGCCGCATCATAGAGGGGCCTCTGAACTCCTTCAGTCGCAGGAAGCAAAAAAAGCCCTGTCCTGATAGGGTTAAACAAACTTTATCTGTTTTCTGTTAATTCAAATGCTTGTGGATAACGTAGAACATCAACTGGGCATATTCAAAAATCTTTGAAATACGAGGAGGAATGAACATTACTAAAAGGGATCTTTTCAATAAAAAACGCAGAGCAAAGTCCACAAAACTAAACGCCTGTTTTCAATTTTTTTAGAAGAAACTGTTCATCTGCCCATGGCTTCTTCAGTGCCAATATTTCGTTCTACAAAGGAAACCACTAACTATGCAAGGCTGTGTCGTCTTCTGGTAGATGTTGGGTCACAAGTCCTAAGACAGAAATTTGACAGTATTTGTCCACAAGCTACCCTTAACAGTTATTTGTCGAGTCCTGCAGTACATACCACGCTAACAACACTTAAGGCGAGAAGAGTTTTGAAACCTTCGCAATGGGACAAACTGTATCCCCCCGTCGTCGCCGTTTCAGTTTCATCAAGGGACTTTGACATCACCCTGCTAATGGTTCTGTTGAGAAACATCTGTGGTTTAACTCCTCCAGTGACTGGGTGGGACAATCTTCCGCCTGCTACAGATTTAACGCCCGAAGCTGATATTGCTCGTATAAAGTGGTACAGAAATACAGTGTATGGTCATACCAGTCAAGCCTCCGTTGATGATGCTACCTTTGCAAGCTGTTGGACGGACATTAAGGCTACTTTGGTAAGACTGGGAGGGGCGACATATGGACCTTCAATCGACCTTCTCGAAAATGCCTGTATGGACCCTGTCATTGAGGAACACTACAAAAACCTTCTGAACCAATGGAAAGTGGATGAACATATCAAAGATGCGCTCAGTGAGATGGTGGAGAAGCTGGATGAACTGAAGGCGGCGCTGCCGCAGCCTGCAGAAAAGTCGATGCTAAGTGAAAACGGTAAGTTATGACCAAAATATGACGCCTTAAACTTATCTAATACTATCGATGTCTCAGATTGACAATGTATAATTAATGTCAGGTCCTGAGATACACCTCACCAGAGACAAAGAATAAAGAAGAAATCAAAAGGCAATCCAAGAGAGTCTTGGATTCTAGATTCCACGCTGTGGATTTCGGATTTCAGGTACCGGATTTCAAATTCCTTGTCAGCGGAACTTGGATTCCGAATTCCAATCATTTCCAGGATTCCAGATTCCTGGAGAGCTGAATTCCGCACTCCCAAGCCCAGGACTGTGTTTTCCGCCTGTGTTTTTCTGTGTTTTTTTTGTAACCCGGATTACCTAACATGGAGTGAGAGGGTATCGCTAAGTCTAACTACAAAGCGACATTATGAGTATTGACAACTTTTACTGCATTGCAAGCTGATAAGAAGTGTTTGTGACTCATTTAGCCAACTCATTCTTAGCTCGATAACAGTCGTATCTGAAAACAGCTTATTTGATTGGCCTTGCGTACTTGGCAACTTTCTGCACTCAATTTTACGATTTTGCACAACATTTGGAATGAACTGTCAAGCACCCTACCAATCAGGTTGCAGACAGTTTTGTATCTATATTAGCTAACTAAGGAATTTTCAAAGGAAAAATAATTCATTTCAATGTCCCATTTTACTCGCATACAGATCCAATCTTCGTTCAAGAGTGTCAAAGGCAGCTGCGCTCCCACTATAACACCACCATGAGCCAGGTTAGAATCACCCCTTGGGAGAAAGATAGCATTGTCAACATCGAAGACGTTTACACCAAATTATCCTGGTGGAGACAGGTAAAGAGACCCAACGGAGCAACCAATCAGGAAATTAACGACTATACCGAGGTATTCGAAGGTTATGGACGTTCTACCAGCCCTAAAAGGATACTTGTCTACGGAAGGACTGGTATCGGAAAATCGACCTTTTCTCAGAAAATTGCCGTCGACTGGGCGAACGAAAAGGAAGAAGTCTTGAAACGGTTCGATGTTTTACTTGTGGTAAGGTTGCGAAATGCGTTGGATGCCCAAGACATGCCTTCTTTAATAAAAGCTTCTGACCTTTTTGCTGTTGATGGATCGATTTCAGCTGAGAGCGTTTATGATTACGTTCGCAGCCACCAAGAAAGGGTGTTACTTGTACTAGATGGCTACGACGAGTACAGTGCGAATGGGACATTGATTCGTGAGATATGGCGAGGGAAACAGCTAAGAGATTGTCACGTGTTAATGACGACCAGACAACTGGAGAGCGACGAACTTATTATCCCAAGCAATGTGCTGTACGAGATCAAAGGGTTTGTCCATAAGGAACAAGTGAACGATTTTGCTCGGAGGTTTCTCGACAGCGAAAGAGAGCTGGAATTATTTGTCTGTTACCTAAACGATGAGAACCTCTGGAGCTTAGCGGAGATTCCTCTTCTTCTTTTGATGCTTTGCTTGATTTGGAAGAACAGGTATGTCAAAAAACTACCAACATCCAAGCTGGAACTGCATGATAGATTTGTCGAGACTTTGCTTTGTCACATGAGCTTGAAGAATCCCGACAGCCCACCGTTGAATAATAAAAACGTCCTCCATGCTTTCAGTGAAGAGATTACCGCCTTAGGAAAGTTGGCGTTTGAAGCTCTTTTGAAAAACTCCGTATATGTTGATCTTGAAAACCTTAAACTTCAAAGTGATGACCTCGCTGACAAAATGATCCGTTCAGGTCTCTTTCAGTTTTCTAAAATGTCAAGTCCAGATACTACCAAAACCATAGTATTTCTTCACAAATCAATACAGGAGTTTCTGGCTGCAAAGTATTTGATGAACATGCTAAATATGAAAGAAAGCGAGATACCCACTATTGGCGCAGGGATTAATTCATTCAGCAAGGCGTTAGAGATGAAGGAAGTACTTCGATTTCTGTGCCAGTGGTCTACGGAAGGAGCGAGAGCAGTCTTCAACCTTCTTAGGTCTCTTGGAGAAAAGGAATGTCTGACAGAGTGCCAGTTTTCTAAGACGCCTTCTCTGGACGATCTGTCACTGCACCAAAGATTGTTGCGGGATTTAAGTTTGGAGTGTTTAATCAGTTGTTCGGTGTCATCCAGGCGAGACATCTATCCTTTGTTTCTCTCTGCCACAGATGGTGTTATATCAGTGAATAACTATAACATCGAAAACGTTGCCTCTCAGCATCTACTGCAATCTTCTCCTTTACCGAACTATGTGTTTTTCGAGCATGGCGACTTTGCTGACCTTGTTTCAATATCTCAAGATGTAGACGCTGTAGTGCTTACCTGTTCTGCCCTTAAAATCAAAGCCTGTCATTATCTTCAAATGTGTGAAGTCTCGGCCTTTCAGACGGAACACTTCTTTCTAAAACGTAAAGGGGACAGGCTCTTTCTTTACTTCACTACAATATGCAGGACTTTTCGTCGCAACTATTTAGAAATGCTGAGGGACCTTACATCAGCATTGTATGAGTCTATTCCGAGAGGAACGCGGAACCTTGCTGAGCTTCCTGAAGGTCACTGTTTTTCATTAGTCAGAGAAATTGAGGTTTTCGTTATGTGGACAAGTGAAGAGTTATCGTACATAAACGACATGTTGTCTTTTGCAGTTTCTCCACAAGAGGTCATTATAAAGCACATACGAGTGGAAAATGATGTTGTATCCCACATCAACTTCACCGAAAACCTTGGTAGATTAGTACTGTACGATCTTGAAATGTCAGACGGCGATGTTGCTCTCTTAGCCAGTTCAACTCGTCAAGCGCCCAACATGTACTCGTTGAAAGTGTCCCGCTGTCCTTTCCACGGTAGTGTAAGAATTTTGGCTGCAAGCCTTTGCCATGTTCCACTATTGACGTATTTAACTTTGTCTCGAGTCCGTATGGATGATCGAGAATGTTCACGTTTAGCGTCTTCACTAAAACATGTTCCTCGGCTAACAGTTCTTGATTTGTCCCACAATCCACTTGGTAAAGGAATCACTGACCTTGCTCGACAACTGTATCGCATACCTGATCTGCAACATCTAAACATAGAAAAAACAAGAACAGGTCAAAAAGAAGCTAAAGCCTTGGCTCAAGAGCTAAGATCAGTGCCAAGACTACAAACCATTCAGCTAGGATTTAATCCAATCGGAAAAGGGGTCGGTGATGTCGTGCGAAGTCTTCATTACCTTGAAGAACTACTACAAGTGGACCTCAAAGACGTCAAACTGTCGCGCGAAGAAGTTGATGCTATATCGGACGCACAACGTGGAATATATATAACGTCTTATCACGTATGTTTTTCCTTTTTACGAGTGGTATCTTAAGTTACTTGCGGTATCTTGCGTAGCAGGTGCATGAAAAATTTGGGGATAAAAGCTAGAGCGGTGGCGCTACCTCTATCCTTTTGCGTGTTCTCCCTTGCGCATCGCTGATCTCGCTTTCCTGTGCACCTGTTGATTAAGCCATTGCTGCACAGCCCCACACCAGGTTAAAGAAAACAAATGTCATTATTAAATGGTAAGGAAGGGGGTATTATGTAGGGCGTTGTTACCAAGTCATTGAAATTCTTCCTTGATAAAGACAACCACCGACTGGGCCTTTATGAATATTTTTTGTCGCCCTCCCGTTTCCCTGACTCCAGATGTCTGCATCGTTTGCCATGGAAGTGTTTGCAAGGTATATCAACTGATTTTATATAGCACACCTGAATATGGCGCGATTAGATCTGAATTCATGAATTCTTAACTGACCCGTAATATCTAGAAATGAAGGTGATATCCGTTGGGTTATGACAAGTGTCGCTGAAAAAATTGATTGCACGGAATTCTTGTGCATTATCGGTTATCGACATTTCGAAGGAAGTGGTGATATTACACTGCATTCCACTTAAACAGGTTGCAGGGTCGAGATTTTGGCCAGAGTGTTACAATGATAAATCAGAAGTAAATTTCCTTACAGAGGGATAAATTCTTAAAATATGTCTCCCTTTTCAGGAGTGTTATTCCACGAGTTCTTAGCATTCATTCCAAATAATAAACGTTTGTCTTGCACACTTAAAATCTTGTGTCCTATAAACAATGTATTTGTTTGTCGATAAGAGTTTTCAAAACTAAGAAGGTTACGCCATTAGGATAGAAGCTGGGGATGGAGGGCTTCTCTTAGTTTTTTTTTCAAATGGTCGTGGCTTGAAATAGTCGGTCTAAAGTATAATCACGTGACCCACATTGGGCAACCAAAACATACAAGCTAAAGAGGTCTATCCTTAAATTTCGTGTGCTGTTAGATTGGCATATGTAAGTACATCTGATTAACACACTTCGACTGTTTTAGGACCTCCAGGGAAAACCCAAGAAGAAAGACGATTGGCCCAGATTTTCTGATCTGCAATACAATAATGATGACGATGATGATGATGATGATGATGAATCATTCATTCTTGGTGGTGATGATGATGATGATGACAGAATGTTGGATCGACGGTAATTTCTTTGTTCCTGGGTTTTTCACAATCAGTTGAAACCCTGCCCAAATAAGCCTGTGTACAGACATCACCCCTCCCTCAGGAAGTTTTTCCCGAGGGAGGTGGGACGTCTTTACACAGGCTATGCCCAAATCAAAACAGTGTGCCGCCACCCACATTATGATGTAACTACTTTGTCTTTTCAGTTTAAAGAATGACGTGAGATGACGATGAAATTGAATGTTTGGTTGAAAAAATACTGAGTAGAATTCTATTCATAAAATGTGAAACGTAACTAAAGGCTCATATAATGGAATTCGGGGAATTGGGGCTAAGGTTCTATTTCAGAACATCTTGTTTTGCTTATTAACCCAATAGACCTTTTCAGCTCGGATGTTTTATTTTCCCAATTCAGACCACCTGATGTTCTCCAGGGAAGTTGCGTTTTGTCTTTTCGTTAATTATGCGTATATATAAACGTGCATAAGACTACAGTTGAAAGAAACAGTTCACTAGGGTACCATCACGCTACCTGAAATGGGAAAACAAAACATATAACCTAAAAAGGTATATTGATTTTCTTCTTCTTCTTCTTTTTTTGCTTTGCTCTGTTTTTGGTTTTTCTAACGTTCGCGGTGCCTTCTTTGTCGTGGTTGCTTAAGGTGGCCCGTTCCTATTTATATGCGTGTTGATTATGTTTTTGATTCGCGTTTTTCAGAATGAAAGATTCAACCGATTTTTACGTTTTTTTTTGCATCCTTAATAAATAATGATGGAACTTTAAGAAAATGTTATTTATTTTCTTATAGGTATAAAAACTTTTGAGATATCGGCATATATTTAAAACCTCATTTTTACGAAAAATGAAAATAACTTCGAAATCCCAAAACAGATTTTTCCCTAACTTCAGCAAATAAGCGTCAGAGCTCTCTAGTTTTATGTCTGCAATCTTGAAGGCAATCGTGACCGTAGAAATCGCTCCACAAAATGTCGGTCAAATTTAATGCTAAAATGATCGGCTAACACATTTGTGAACGTAAACGCACAAATAGCGGAAGAGAGCTGACAAACTACCTCTTAACTGAAACGTTGTTCTTACCCAGAGCATTGTTGGAAGAAAATGAGTAATCGGACAACTACGGCGAACACAGTTAGCGCTTTAATCATAACTATAGCAACATTCTAAAATCTGATTGGCTATCAACTACCCTGATTTCAGCCTTAATAGGACAGTTAAATAGGACAGTACGCGTCATACCTAAGTAATTGGACAGTACGCGCCATCACGCGCGCGCGCTTAAATGGCTTTTTTTTGTCACTGCTAGCAAAAAAAATCTCGGAATTTCTTGTGTTTTGATAAAAAAAGGAGCCTCATATATCACAAATTTTGTTAAAGTTATGATTAATTGGTAACAGAACTTCGTGTCGTCCAATTCGGTCTGTAATCATACTCGTGATTAAACAAATCGGACTCCCACTACGCGGTCGTCCAATTTTGTTAATCACTAGTATGATTACAGACCGAATTGGACTCCACTCAGTCCTGTTACCATTACTAATACAACCAACTTATTATTTACTAAGGATGCAAAAAATCGTAATAGGTTGAATCTTTCATTCTGAAAAACGCGAATCAAAAACATAACCAACACGCATATAAATAGGAACGGGCCACCTTAAACTCCCTGTATATTTGCCGGGAAACCATTTTCAAATAGAGTAAGCATGACATTCAAAATATCGAAAGTAGTGTGTAACGTGTTTGACAAACATACCACGTATATAAGCTTTGTTTATTCGCTCCGTTTCAACTTATCTTATTTTACCCATTCGCAGGTACTGTGATACGATGTATATGAGTGTGGAATTACTAAATTGAATACAGTTGAACCTCCCTTAAGCGATCACCCAAAATGCGACGACTAACTGTTCGTTTACGGGAGGTGGTCTAAGAAGAATCGGACCACACGGGCTCTCTTCCAAGAAGAGATTTGGACACATCAACTTTATAGAAGATAATTCATTCCATGCAATTTCTAAGTTTTAATAAGTATAGTTCCATGTTGTTGTTAAAAATTCTTCGTGTTCTCGCGTGTTCTCAAAGTAACACAGTGCATGGAGGAAACATAGAGCTAGACCAGATCATGCGTGAAGTGTTCGCTTACAAGGAGTTGAAAACGATAGAAAATAGTTAAACCGTCAGTGCTGAAAAGTGGTCACCTTCGCTTTCAGGAGGTAGTCGTTTACGAGAGGTTTCAACTGTAGGGCTTCGACTGGGAAAATGTTGGTGTTTTAGATAAGTTGTCGCTTATGGGATGTGGTCGCACATGTATATATGTAAGGGTGATAAAGTCGGTACATGTGAAAATGGTACTGACGAAAGCTACACATGTTTTCTTAGCTACAAGGTATAAACCAAAATGTTCTAGTATGAAATATTCCGTATATTCTGTACTTTCGTATACACTACTAAAACTATTTTACAGTTATCATACACGGAAGTGAAAAATTGGGAGAAAAGCAACAAGTGGCGCGCAAAACGCGCATAGCCTGTCTTTTCACTTTTCCATCATCCTAATTTCTAACGCGTTTATGGAGTTAACTTACTAGACGGGCCTTACGAGAAAATCAAAAAGAGAGACTGTGAGCAGTCTATTGGGTCTGACTTTGTAGTTTATTTATTTCGACGGAACACCCTGTCATTCTAACCAGAGTTCATCCTTTACTGAAGTTCCTCTAGGTCACTAACATACTTTATCTCCTGTTTGTGACGTGAGAATCAGTTATGAGATCTTAACGATTTCCATGGTAATTTGGCCAGTTAATTATCTGGCATAAAAGTATTGTTTGATTACCAATTTAAATTAAGGTTATATTATATCTCTGTCTACGGGAGGTCATTTATGCCGTCATATTTCATGTCACTCTTGCTAAATGGTATTCCATTGATGAGTGCGATGCCTCGCTATGTCATTTACTTGAGTCCAACCTAAACGGCGGAGTGTGATTTGCTAGGGGGGAAGATTCCCATCTTTGAGTGACACTCGCTACGAGAGCGTAACCAGATTACTAAAGCCTTCTTCTGGCGAAAGAAGCGACATTATCGCCGCTTTTTCCATTGTTCTTTTCCTCGTCATATGGAACGAAATGATCTCCACTTCCGCTTCCGCTTTCCCCGCCTCCGCTATCCTCCTCCGAGCCGTGCTCCTTCCCGAAAGGAACAAATTCCTCTTTCATTTCCACACCATTTGTGTTCTTCCCTCTTAATTCCTCCAAAGGAGTAAAGTCCTCTTTGTGTCTAAGCCCGCCGGTAATCGGATACACTTCTCCATTCCCAGATGCTTCTCTTAAGTTTTCCTTATCGTCACCGTCCTCATCGTCACCAGACCCCGAGCCGCTTAGCTCTAAAGCAAGACGGGCCTGGTACTCTGCAAATTTCGAAGACGATAAACATGTTTAATAAACGTTCTAGTTTTAGAAGAGTCGCCCCATTCCATTCCATTCCGGAATCCGGGAAAGTTTTGCTTGTGGAATCCAGAATCTTGTGCTTTGGAATCTGGAATAAAGCGCAAGGAATACGGAATCCCATTGAGGAATACATTTCCACTGACAATGACCGGAATCAAGTACCTGGAATCAGGAACCTACGGTGTGGAATCCAAAATCCAAGACTTTCTTGGATCCCCTTACATGGGGCGAGAAAAAAGTTCAAAAGCCAAATTCCGATGTAATTACCTTGAACTACGCTGTTTCCAGAGGCTTACTTTATTCACTCGCAAACAAACTTTAGCTGCTAGGCAGTGACAAAGATCCGCAAAGTGGAAGACAAAAATGAAGACAACGATCGCAAGATGTTCTTTCGTTTCGTGTCGCTCGAGTTTGTTTGAGAAGAAAGAGAAAAATTATGGGACAAGGGTAACCGTGAACTTACAAATTAGCAACCATGGGATAATCTAAGGTATAAAGCGTCAAGTTTTACTCGTTTAATGTAAAGGACTCCATGGCAGTCTTAGATTTCATGTGGATTCCGGAATTTTTGTCAGTGTAACTTAGATTCTTGACTCAATTCGTAGTGGGATTCTGGATTCCTTGAGCTGTATTGCGGATTCCAAAGCCTAGGAATCCGGACTCCACAAGCAAACATTCTCAGATTCCAGATTCCACCAAATTTGCAAGCGACTACAATGTCAAATGATTACCTTTGTTGCAATTGGAGACATCACACATTAGGTTTCCGTTAAAGCAAGAGCTATGGAGAAAAAATAATGATAATATTCAGAGGGGTGGCGGCTGTAGTATGGGTGATAGGATCAGCGGTGTGTTACAAAGCTGGGCCCGGTTCCTTGAAAGATGGTTAAGTTTAACCCAGGATAATGCTAAATTTTAATTAAGGTTTTCTTCCCTATAGACATGCAACTCAAGCTTACAAAATACTGTTGGGCCTTCACCCCAAGATACGGTAATGATAACACAAAATGTTGCTCTAAGCAATACAAAACAAGGTAAAATTTAAAAAACGGAACCGTTTTACTTTTGGATTGGTGCTTATCGGCCTTTTATGAACCGGGCCCTGTTCCCTAAAACCTGATGAGTTATAGCCAGCGAAGCTGGCGCTTGGAAGTAGTGGGCGCAAGAAAGAACGGGCCCGCGAGAGAGAGCCATGCACGCGTGTCTCCTTCTCGCGCGCGCGCCCGTTCTTTATTCCAAGCGCCTGCTACGCAGGCTAGATGAGTTAGTAAATGGTACATATCACTCACCATACTTTGCAGCCAAGTGGAATTCTTTCTCCATCATTTAACATCATTCCATGATAAAAGCACCCTGCAAAAATAAATGACACTTATTAAAAACTGAATCATTGGATAATGCGATTCTAAAGCTCCGATTGGCTTATCCATCGTGGTATATGAGCCATTATACTATGCTCTACAAATATGTTTGCCCAAAATGAAAAACAGGCTGAAAATCGGTTGTTTTTACAAATAAAGTCGGGAAGAATTCTGGATATTTTGTGCGCGTTTTTAATAAAACAATTATTCCACTCGTACTTGTTGCATATGAGATGATTATAAAACGCGCCTCGTTGGCTATCTACTATCTCATATCCAACGCGCACTCGTGGAATAGTTGTTAAATATTCAGCCATATGGTATAATATCAGAATATTCGAGGTGTAATAAATTAGATACGTTGTCCACGTTTTTCAGCCTTCAAACTTACCTAGTTCTTCGATGACGGGAGTTACAACCTCTATGTTGCCAGTGAGTTCTGCAGAGGAGAAATATTTAAAAAAGGAATTGAGAATTGAAATAAGCGAAAGACAGTTACGCAAAACAAACAGAATGCATCAGCATTGAGCAAAACGTTTTCTGTCAAGTATAGGTATAACGAACCTTCGGGCCCTGGGGTACTGCCTTCCTTGTCATCGATCCAATCAATAACTGCAAAAGATAATAAGACGGACATAAGACAAGTGATTAATGCTGCGCGTTACCTTAACCCAATATCCACATACAAATTCTCCAAACTGATCTCTCTCAACTAATTGTTAAAGGAGATGTTGGGAATTTGATAAAAGATCAAAGCATTTTCTCTATGGTGATCATTTATTAATTCTCATAACTTTATCTCTTGACAATGTATGGATATTGTTAGGAGAAAATTGTTGTTGGTCACTATTGGCACTTGAGGGGTTAAGCGCTATAGAAGAAAACATTAGAAGAGTTTACAGTCAAGGAAGTACCCCTCAATATTCTATTTATGAATTGATTATTTGAAACATAAATCCGTTAGTCGTTCCGGTAACTAGTGTCAAATTCAAATCGGCATTCCTGCATGCGTAATGAGTAGTGAATATTTTACGAGAACTTCTCTGTATTTAGTCAGACTGAAAATCTTTGAATGGGTTAAATTTACATCAGATTCAGGGAAATTGAGCTGGTAGGAATTTCGTAACTGCCTCGCGTGCGAATTTACGGCTCATTACGCATGCAAGAATGCAGAGATGAATCTGAAATCTACAACTACCAACGGATTCAACTTTCGAATAATAAATTCATTAATGTAATCTTGAGGGGTACGCTTGACTTGGCTTGACTGTAAGAATCACGTTCACGTCAAACCGAAAACGCGAATTAGTACCACGTGATCAAGTTTCCCCAATACGTTTACTGTTCATTATTTGTACATAAAATAATAGTTTCAAGTAATTTTTTATCCATAAGAATAGCTTTGGGCTGTTTCCTATTTTGAGAAATTCTCAACTTGAATCTGACGTTTGCCGTTTGTCGAATACGTGAAGCTTAAACTCTCTGTGAACTTTGTTTTTAACTTTACAAAATTAAAGGACTTTGGCTTAATTTTTTTTTTGTCTCTTGTTGAAACCCGTTGGTTTTAGTATACTTTAGGCCCGGTTCAGACGCCGCTCCACTCATGTGCCGAACCTAACTGATGAATTAAGTACGGCAAAAGAGCGGCGTCTAAATCAATTTGGTACGGCAGTTTTAGTTTGGTGCGGCAAAAGCGTTAAGTTCGACAGAGTCTGTCGAACTTTTGTCGAACTTAACTTAGGTTCTACACACGGTACGCCATCTGAATCAGATGTCGCGCCAGTGTCGCTCCAAAGTCGAACTTATTCAGTTAAGTCGTCTGAACCAGGCCTTAGAATACTATGTATTGGCAGTTTCTATGCTATGACCAATACCAATGCCAGAAGTATGTCAACCTGTGATCCACATTCATCGAGTTCATTTCATGTCATTTTAGCCCAGCTCCCTCTCATTGCCCCCGCGAGATCGAGCGCCTGGAAGAATCACTGGTATCCAACCGAGTGAGAGTAAAGCTTTTGTCTTAAATTTTTAACATTACCTGGTTCCGAGGGAACAGGATCCATGCAGACATAAGAACACCCATCAAAGCAACACATTTGATTTCCGATGCAGTAGTCATCGTCCAAGCACGAATCTTTACACTTCTCTGTCACTTCAATGACATATGGTGGTGGGCAGGTCTCTTCGTAGAGCGACCTCTTTTTGATTAAATGGCGCTAAAACAAGTTAAAATATACGTCAACGCGCAGATTAAGCAAAGACAACGAGCAACAAAGGAAACGAAAGCTCATCCCATTTAAGGGAATATGGATTCCGGAATCTGGAAAATTTTTGCTTGTGGACTCCAGAATCCTGGACTTTGGAATGCGGAATACAGCTGTAGCAGTCCGGAATCCCACTAACAATTGGAATCCGGAATCCAACGTTTCACTGACAAGTTCGGGAATTCAGTACCTAGAATCCGGATTCCTTTAGCTTGCGTAGCAAGCGTTTGCATGTGGTTTCGGGGCAAACAAGAAGAAAGACCGAAGAGGAACGAGATTTTCGTTTTGGTAGCGCCAAAATGGAACGAGATCCATTTTTCGCTTGGTCTTTGTCTCCCGTTCCTCGTTCTTTGCTCCCAAAACTGCACAGAAACGCTTGCTACGCAGGCTAGGATTCCTTATCTGAAAACCGAATTGACCAACAGCGAGCAACAAAGGCGTGTTCAGCGCTGCCGAGAGGCTCGTCTTTTCAAAAATCTGCAGGAACGCGGGATGATGGTGATTATGGAGGTCTTTGCTATGTAAACAGGTGGAAGGGTTTGGTATTCTTGCTAAAGTGCGGGGATTAATAGCTGTACTCTCTGCTCAATACCCCCCGGGTAATTATCCCATGGAACCCGACGGCATGTTAGGGTAATCAATACTCTTTGGGTATAACATGCTTGGAGCGCTTGCGTGAAAACTCAATGTCGATAAACCGTTCATTCTCTCAACCCTTGCGTGCTTGGGTACTGGCACAGTGAGTCTAGCATCTGTCAAGGAGCCCCAGAAGGAGGGGGGAGGGGAAAGGGGGGATGGCCCTTCTCACGATCCCGGCTTCTGGCTTCTTCAACTGCGGTGATCGGGTAATAGATCAAGGAAACAACATTTGCGAAAAATAAGCCAAATGTTTTCCCTATCATTACTATGAAAATCTCGAGAATTTTTCAAGTGCTGAGAGTGCTCAGAACATCAGAGCATATTTACCGGACTTACATGGACATGTACGTATAGAGAAGTTCTAGAACTTTTTTCGCCGGGTTAAGTTAGAGACCTTCCGATTTATGACGTAATATGTTTTCATACCATCTGTTTCTGAACAATGATAAAATACGTGCTAAAACAGACTGCATGGCAAGTCGCCAAGGTCGGTATTTCAAGGTTATTTTCCCATATTGTTGACTTTTCTAACCATGTGTGTTTTTTCAGAGCTCGTATTTTTTCATCGGTAATGGAAAATCAGGGGATTGAATATTAAAACCGGAAACCTCTCAGAACGTATCCGGCTCATAAACTTGAGCTATCTTAGAAAAAGACCATATATTAAGTAACAGCCAAAATGCAAATCAATGTTGAGGCGCGTTATTTTCCTCCAAAAACAAATATCTTTTTCATCGACCAGCCACGTTGTCGTTATATTTGCCAATTAGGTTTCTTTAGTAAGAGATAAAGAAAATTGCCAATCTTTCAAAACCACACACTTTGACTTATCTAAGTTAGTTTTAAATCGTATTTTTCAGTTGGAAAAAAACTGAGGTTTCACTAAAAAGCTATTTGTGGCCTGCTTAACGAAAGGTGCTATGTAGCCGAGCGAAAGGGAAAAAGGAGGCTGAGAAAGTTGTGAGGCAAGATTTCTATTTCTTTCGAAAGTTCACGTTATTTAGAAGCAAAGTTTCCTCTATATTTCCTTTTTACATCTGATTCTTTTAGAACCGACATTGAGAGCAATAAGTCCTCGTGTAAAAACGCAAAACTGAAAGTTTTTGTTTAAGCTGGCATCTTTTGAAACGACTTGCTGACAATGAGGAACTCTTAAAAGTAAGGGGAAGCGATATAAAGATAACCTGCGCCAACATTTACAATATTAGCACCTTGAAGGACTTCATCCATCGCCTGAATACCTGGAACCAGGTCTCAAGAACGAAGACAGCAGAATTTATATTAGGAAGGATACTAAGAAAGACCTCTTTAAACACACAAGGATATATATATATATATTACCTTAGCATTCCTTATGTTTGATGTTAGCCATTATGACACGAATATCTAGAACACCTGTAAGCGTTTAGCAAGCATGCCAGCGGCCTTGTGTTTCATTGAACAACTTGATGAGCTTAAGATTTTCTTTAAAGTAATTAGATTTCTTGGAGTAATCTTGAAATGATATGAAACATTTAGTTTAATTGCTATCGACTTTTCCATATGGTCTCGGTTAGAAATTTCCGTGAAGGCTATATTTTTTTCTTTGTAACAAAAAGCAGTTTGTTTTTCTGCAAGCATTAAATTGACTGTAAAGTGTGCTTTGACTCTCAGTTTTTCTTTCCAATCACAGCTGCAAGTACGTCACCTATTTGGTATAACAGGGTAGAAAAATCTAGAACCTCTCTTTAAAAGAAAAACAGATGTTTCAGAGAGCCAGGGGGGATGGGGTGATTCGTCCAGTTGAAGTGTTCCCGCGGATTTCCCGCGAAAAATATTCGCAGACGTCGAGCAGTGAGTATTATTTATTTGTGTAAGAGACTATCACGGTACTCATGAAAAAATCTCTGTCGTTCATCCTCCATTTTGCAACTCGACAAAAGTTACTTGAAAAACACTTGGAATGACTTTCAGTTTGTCTCTAATCTGATTTCCTCTTGCTAATGTCTCAACTTCGCACGCGATGGCAACTAGATAACATCTTGAAATCCCTAACTAGTCACATCAATAGCTAAATGAAGTGTTGACTTGTCGGGTTTTAAATAGCCGGGAGCAGAACTTCATGTCTTTCGTCGATCCCCGAATTTCAAGTTCGTTAAAAGCAACCACTGTAAATTTGATCAGTTACGTTTCACGTTGCAATCATGTACGAGTGCAATGTTATCGCAAGAGCTGCATCTTTATGGCACGTGTGAGTTCTTACTCTCAAAAACAGAACTTCCTATCGATCAATATTTAATTCTTCTATCAGGGAATTTGACAAGAAATTAAATTTCAATCGTTGTTTTAAATGCTTGTAGAAAGCAACCGCAAGAACATGTTACCACTTAGCACGTCTTTCTTGAACGAGCGTCATTTGACTTCAGTTTAGAATACTGGGACATGGAAAGGCGAGAGAACCGAAGACTCGAATGCGTGAAGAAGAATTCCAGTAGAAAGCACTCCCAGTTTCTATAATGTAAGCTAACAAATTCATCCCCTTCCACAAAAAAAACAACAACAACAACAACAACAGCTCGGCGTTAGATGTGGTTAAGTTAAATTCAATCCCAGCAAAACCGAAAACGTTTTTTCTTTTTTCCCTTTTTCAAAATTAAAATTTCACCGACAATTTAAAAGAATACACTTTCAACGAGAGACGGTTCAAAGAAAAAAATCGTCCATGTAACACAAGTCTTCCGGTTTATTTGGACAGCCGGGGTCACTGTCCGAAACTCCTCGGAAAACTTCGTTCGCTTTACAAAGGCTTTCACAAAAGTTCGCCAGACGTCTTCGTAAAGGAAGCCGAGAAAGACATTTGGAAGTAATCCTCGTTCATCCGGATAATACTGTTCTACGCCTAGTTACCATTTTGTTTCGTCTTTTGTCGGCCCCCCAGGAATTTACTAGAGTTCAACTGAGATTTTTGCTTGCCTTTTGCAGTAATAATGGTAGACGAAATCGCGAAATTTGAATGTCTTTTTCGTGTAATAAGACTAAAAGTTCCATTTCATGAAACTGAAACGTTTGCTTATCATTATCGTTTGGGGTTAAATCTGAGCTTGTTGCTCATTCGCCCGTTGAATTGCGTAGGACGAGCGCTTACATTAATTTCCTTTTACAGTTATTCTCTTTCTGCGAAAGAGGACGAGGTCAAACAGGGTAAAAACATTAGTTGATTTCCTTTCACTACATCAATATTGGAAAGATGGAAAAAACTTCGTGACAAAGTTTGTCAAGGTACTTGTACCGTGTGTACAATCACAGCTCCTTATGCCAAGTTTGGCAAAATAACAATTGTAAAGTTCACTTAACTCACCTTTACGTTTCTAACACTTCTTGACTCTGCAATCGGCAAAAATGCACAGACTTCGGCCAGTAAAACAAAGTAGATGAGTGGTTTCCCCAGATCCATAGTCTTCAGCTTAAGAAGCAGAGAGAGATGTCGCGACTCGTTGAGGATGTCAGAGTGAAGTCACAATAAACACCGCGAAGCTCTTGGATGTAAACCTTGAAGCAATCAAAAGTAGTATTTTCTTTCAATTCCAAGCAGGCTACACGATGTCAAATACTGATATTTATCTCCCGGTTGAAAGGTAGTCGAACGATCGCAATTATCTTGATGTGACCTAAAGCATATGTATCACTGGTATGAGCTTAACAGGAAAACTGCGCAATTTATACCTCTGGAGTTAATGCTATGTCATCTGCTTATCGGGAGAGCTTCAGCGAAAGTACCGCGTTTCGTGTTACAGTGCCACCTTTAAACCCACCCAAAATAATATTTGTCTAGCCCGTCAAGTCCACGCACTACCTCGACAGCCAATGTCATCTCGACGGGATATCAAGGCATGAAGTAATCTCCAAAGTATTTAATAAGGGCAGGCTTAAAAAGCGTCAAAACACCAACCCAAGCCAATTGTCATGTCGATGATGAGGGGATTACGTTGGGTTCACTCCTTGTTTGCGGGCTATTAAATATGATAGGCGAGCCTCCAGTGCTGTACAATCTTTGAGCAGTTTAAAATAGCCGTTTACGCGGACTCAAGCTGGGTTTTTGGACCACACTGCACTGCGAGGAAAGTGACAAATCAAGGTTATTCTGTTGCCGATCGCCTGACAGTTTTACTCACGCGAACATTGCTCCCGATGAACACGGTTTACTTAAAACTGAAATACCCACTTGTAAGAAAAATAATCTGTTTTTGCTATTTTCCACTCAAGCTAATAGCCTATCAACGTTTAATATCGATTCTTTTCAAAACAATAGCCCCAGAGGCCGATTTTAAGCTCGCGACAGTGAGCAGAAAAAAAATCTACGTAGCCTCTTTACAAAGTTCACAGCTCCCAACACGCAACTCTTCAGTGGGAATTTAAGAATGCGACGATTAATTCTTCCCACATTGAAATATTTGCTATTTTTAGCCGAAGAGATTTTCAGTTCTCGCAAGGAATGCGGTATGTTAATCTCTTCTTTGTCCACAGTTAAACTAGCCAGATTTGTAATTTTGCGATAAAGGTTGGCGTAAAAATATTCTTGCGTAGAAAAGGGCAACTTGATGTCATTACCTTCAAACGCGCAAGGAATGTAATGCAAAAAAACAAAATTTTAACCTAATTATAGTAAACCGAATCTTGGCCAGCAGATATTGTATCAAACAGCGTCTTCCGCTTCTAATTATGAAATTAAAGCTTTCAAAAATAAACCAAAAGCACAACTTTGTGATTACTGTGGTGGAAGACGTTCGCGAACACGTACTTGAAAAACTATTGCAACATTTGCTAACGTTGACATTTTTGAGAACCAAGATATGTCAAATATGAAAAGACTCAAAGATTTCTCTTCATATGCCAGCAAAAAGTGACATGTACTTAACTACAATAACCTGAATAACTAAGTAACAAACTTACTTTTTAAAATTGCCACTTTAAGTGACACTACAAAAAGCTTATAAAACGGCGAGTACGCGTGCCAAACGGCGTTATGCTTCAATAATTCAAGAGTTATGTTAAGCGACCTTTTGTACGATGAAAAAAACTCAGACACATGAATTTGAGCTGTTTTTTTTTTTCTTTTTGCTCAAGACAAGAATAAAACAAGTTATATTTTTACGCTGTTTTCGTAGATTTCAGTTTTTATCGCCGGTTTTGTTAATTAGTTAGTTAGTTAGTTACTATTTTAAGTTAATTAGTTTGTTAGTTTGTTTGTTTTGCTACATCGGTTCCGTGTACCGAGACTAAAACAAACTGTCCCAGCTGGTCATGCGCACAATTAGACTGCAACCTCCCTACAAAGACCACCTTCGTTTGGGGACAGAAGAAAGTGGCCGTTGAAGAGGTTTTAAACAAGAATGATAATTTGTCCACCCGGACGAAAAAAAGTGGCCGTTAGAGGAGATTCGACTGTACCACAGTTTTAGGCCGGGGGATTATCTTTGGCCAACAGTAACTGCCAAAACTTTTGAAATGTTTGGTACAGTTGTGTAATTGTGTTGCAGATCAGTGGATTTCCACCAAATGACGTAATAAACGAAGATTAAAAAGGCACGGAACAATACCCACATCAAAAAACATTAGCAAACCAAAAACACTGTTTAACTTAAGAAAATAACACGTATCTTCAAACTAAATCGAAACCGTCTGACATCAGCAGGTAACTACCGGTAGGTTTATAGTGACCTTGCCGACTAACTTTGCTTTGACGTGTGCCGATCTATTAACTAGAAGTACCTACCACTGAGCGTTAATATCCCGCTTATTATTTAATGAATGAATGAGATATTAAAGCCAGAAGTATTGACAAAAATAATGGAAACTAAATATGGGTCACGTTTGAAAAAATACAACTGGGAAAGAAAACACGATCGTTCACCGCACACGTTTTTCACTGTGTCTATTTTGATGCATAAATTTCCGCGTCTCTAATCTCTGTTAAATAGTTAAAGTTAAGCTGTAGGAGGGCAACAAAAAGAAGACTCGACGAAAAAAGATGGTTGTTTTTGACAAAGAAAGAGTCAGGAAAAAATACAAATACTGTGAACCGTGCCAAGAAAGATACGGGGTTCCTGCACCACTAAGCACGTACAAATTTGTTTATGCGCTTCGCTTTTAATATAACACCGCTGTTGCTTCTTAAAATCAGAACAATATGTTGTCTCTGTTCATACCCAGAGTCCAAACAATTTCGAAAGAGAGTCAGATACAATTGGGTGCATTAGACATACCCATTTTTGGGTCCACTGCAAGAAATGAAAATGCATTTCTAAGTTATAACGTAAAGCAGAGAGGATGTTTTCGGAGAACTGTTCAACTGTTCAAAAGTTATCTTAGTGATGTCATATCCGGTCTTTACCGGTTTTACTTACGTTTCGGTTTTTGAGCCAACTTAATTCTTAATTAGCTAGAGGAAGAAGAATGGCTTGCACAGTCTCTCGGCTTTCAAGTTTTTCTGCTGAAATACTTTACAGCGAACAACAAAGTCGTTTTATGAACTCCAAAAGGGCCGCTTATGGCCACGCCCACTGTCTCAAGACCCCTCCTGTATATATACATAACGGACATTTTACTCAAAATGAGCGGATTAAAGTACACTTGAAATGAAATAACAGGATATCAGTTCAAAAGGCATGGAAATAGTTGAAAGTAGTGACATAATATTCAGTATAGTAAACGTGCAGTAGATTATGAAAAGGAACTTATGGATTTTACTAACGGAAAGATTATGAGGAATGCTGACGTACTTGATTTCACACTAAAGGACTCCTAAATGTTCTTAATAGCACCATTAGAACATTAAGCTTCTAGACAAAGTCTCATGAACATGACCTTAAAATTCATTTTGCATGTGTTGAATTCGTTTTATAAATTAAATAAAGGGAATTGACTGCACCAATCTACTACATCAGGACAGTGTTTTATGTTCGTTTTGGTGCTATTTGAATGCGGTTTACTGTAATTCTTCGCCAATCTGTGGTAGACCATACCATGATAATACTTCGTATCTTTGGAGATCAGATAAATGAGAAGTTATGTTAATCGCGTCCGCTTATAATCTGTTCAAACCCCTTTTATGGAAACTAAATTTCAACTGATTGCAAAACGGCATGTTTGCTCACGTGCCAGCAAGTAATTTCTCTATAGCACGCTTTCTCTGCAAAAATAAAAAATGATCATAAAAAAAAGAATGAAAACTGCAACTTTAAATGAAGGTTCTAACTTTGACATGGACCGTTTTCTTCACGAACCCCTGGTGTTTAACAAAGTTCGATCAGTGAAGTCAAGATGAATTTGCTGATCTTGAAGTAACCGCTACACCAGTAGTATTACCACTAATTACCAACAGCACGACGAAAAGGAAACACAGAATCGAATATATTCCGCCCTATAAACTGTTCACGATGCAGCGAACTTACTGATGTATTCAGTGGAGCAAAAAGCTTACCATGCATTCGAATGCATGTCTGACTGCATACACGTGTAAACGAATGTAAGGACTTACGTATAGGAAGAAGAGAGGCCCGTTCCTCGAAAAACCGCTAACATCCGCTGCAGGAACTTGAAGGTAGACTGTACCAATCTCTGTCAGTAAAATCCACGAATGTATGACTAATATCTATCATAAACTGGTACCAAACCTCAAGCTATATGACATAATATTAGGGTCCCACATAATGTTTGATCACGTGCAAGCATGTTACATAATTGCCAGATAAATTTTTTTGGACCTTCTCAGAAAGCGACGAGGAATTCCCGGGGGGAACTCCCATATGAAAGGGGCGGGGATGCTCATCGTCTCGCTTAGGGGGTGTAAATTTCGCATTTTGGTCCTACTAAACGGTGTTCTGGGCACAACGTCACTATATTTAGCCGCAAAGGTCCTTTTTAGGGTTGCACGCGAAGGAATATACAAAATTATATATTTTTAATTCGTTTTACTTACTCCCTTCAAGTAATCAGAGTTTAAAATGGTCTCTTTAGGGGTCAAAAAAGGTCGGGCCGCGCCCAGACTGGTCTCCTTTAGGGGTTTAATTAAAATGAGTGGGAGTAATCCCATCGAGACTGATTATGGCTTAGGACCTATGAGTGACCCTTAAGTGGCTATACTGATATGAGACAGGCAACTAGTTCTTGCAGTTAATATAGATTTAAAATGCGTGAAGATTCTCGAATGCTGTCTTCAACATCACAAAATGGCGTATTCTCCGTGTCGCCCCATATAAGGGAATCCAAGACAATCCTGGACTCTGGATTCCACGCCGTGGATTCCAGATTCCAGCAACTGGATTCAGGATTCTTTGTCAGTGGAACTTGGATTTCGGATTCCAATCGTAAGTGTGATCCGGATTCCAAAACGCAGGATTCCGAATTCCACAAGAACAATTTCCAGGATTCCGGAATTCGGAGGCGACCCATAGG